CCTTTAAAGGCTACATAAACCCAACACACCTGCTTTATTATTTGGCCCTGGACCATTGTAATATAAAAAGTTGATGATACTTATATTTGAAGTGTTGAACCTACTGATTCGACACATAGGGGTAATGTGTCGGATTCGATCTACACAGTCGATAACGACACCATAGAATATATGAAGTGTCTAGGTGACAATGGACAAAAGTACTAATCAGATTAATAAAAGTCGAGTTCTAGGAAAATGCAAAGTAGAATACAAATCATGCTATCGATGACAAAAAAAAGCCTTGTGAACAAAAAAGATATTACACAACACAAGGAACAATAAGAAGGAAGAAGGGAAAAGTTAGAGAAGAGATGGAGATGAAGATCCACAGGTCCACGACTTAGAAGAGGGAGAAACCCTAGAAGTTGTTTCTAGAAGTTTGAATGGTACTCGAAATAAGAGCTTGTCTTTATTTTTTGAAATTGTGACTTATGGAAACCCTAGGTAGGAAAATAACATTTTTTATTATAAAATATTTTAAATAAAATATTCTTCAGTGAAGAATGATTTTTTATGCAAAGGAACGACACTTTCCAAAAATAAAGCGTGTCAAAAAAGGACACTTATGTGGACCCATAATAGAGGTATCGTATTTGTTTCTAGTAGATTGACATATATGTCCGTGTCACTAAAGGATCGACATGCAATCAGAACCTCAGACACACAAGTCCATATTTCATAAGTGGAGCATATAATCTTGAGACGATTTTAGGCTATGTTTGATTGCACTTAAATATATGAATATTTTAGTATTTTGAACAATTCTACAAGAAGAAAACTATGTTTGATAACCCAAAATTGAATCCTAAAATCTACATTTCCAGAAAGTCAAAAGAGGACTTGAATAACGATTTCTCCATCGAAAATAATTTGAGTGTCTTCATCTCCACCCACCCCAACTGGTTATCTCAGATCTCACATAGGGCCCTGTCTGTTTCTCCTCTCCCCCTCAACCGGCTATCTTAGGTCTCACATGGGGTCCTCTCCTCCCCCCCCCCCCTACCCCTTTCCCCTTCCGCCCCCTCCCCCACCCCTTTTGAGGTTGGGTTTCCTTGTTGAATTTGTTTTTTTTGAAGTCTCGTAGAGAATTGTCTTATGATTGGGTATAGGATGCCCACCTTATTCTACACAAGTAAGACGCACCTCTAAATTTTGTCGGAAGCTGTGGTCTTGGTATCTGAAATCTTACGATGGCTTGAGAATTGATGTTCCACCCAAATTATGAAATTTAAAATTTCAAAAATGATGCAGATGGAGTACATCTATAAATACTTGCAAATCTTGAGGATCGACTGTCCATATTTCCAACTTTTGAATACTCAATTCTACAAGATGTTTGAAGTGCACCTTACTTTTATAATATAAAGTTGCAACCTTAAATAAACGTTTTCTTTATGATTTATTGGCATTGTTTGACTGATTAATAAATGGGAAATGCTCATATAATGTTGAGGCTCTAAACAATCAAACTAAGGTGCACCTAAAAAATATACTAGAAAAAGTTGTTTTTGATGTATTTGTTTTCCAATTTTTGAATACTCTTTCTACTGGATTTTTGAGGTGCATCTTACTTTTATAATATAAAGTTGCAACCTTAAATAAACTTTTTCTTTATGATTTATTGGCATTTTTTGTTTGAATATCTGAGTAATAAATGAAAAAAGCTCATATAAGGTTGAGGCTCTAAACATTCAAACTAAGGCGCACCTCAAAAATAGATTAGAAAAAGTTGTTTTTGATGTACTTGTTTTCCAACTTTTGAATACTCATTTCTACTAGATTTTTGAGGTGCACCTTACTTTTATAATATAAAGTTGCAACCTTACATTAACTTTTTCTTTATGATTTGTCGGCATTTTTTGTTTGAATATCTTATTAATAAATTGAAAAAGCTCATATAAGGTTGAGGCCCTAAACAATCAAAGGCTCACCTCAAAAATATATTAGTCAATGCCGAAAAACCCTCGAATCTGATCATCTCGACCTTGAGATACATGGATGTGGAAAAAAATAGGCTTCAAGTCTTGATAATAGTGCATCTTGTAATGCATTATCTAGACCGTCAATTTTCAAGATTTTGTTAGCCAAATTTTTATTCTGTTACCCAAAATTTGATGGGTGCGGTTTGTTTAGAGCTGAGGCTCTAAACAAATAAAGTAAAACGTACCTTCAAATAGTGTCGAGAAATGTGGTTTCAATATTGGAAATCTTTGTAATAGCTTTAAAATATATGTATATTTTAAATTATAAAATTTAAAGCTTCAAAAATAATGTAGATCGAGCCGATCTATGAAAACTTGAAAATTCATGGTCCAAAACTGCATTATTTTCAAAACTTGAAATCTATTTTTTTCTCTTGTCCATGCATCTTGATGTCAAGATGATCAATTTGAGGATATTTGGGCATAAAAACCACCTCTTCTAGTGAAATTTTTGAGATGGGCTCTAATTTGATTGTTTAGAGCCTCGGCTCTGTTTAAACTTTTTCCTATTTTTATTATGTTAGACATATAGTCCATATTTAAACTTTTTCCTATTTTTATTATGTTAGACATATAGTCCATATAATAAAATGCGTGCAACAACTTTATATGAACTTTTAGGAAACGTGCTTGGGTCAAGACGGTAGAGAGTTGGTTTTCATAGCCCAACACCTCAAGTTGCATTCCTACCTTGTCAAAATAAAAAAAAAAAATTTATACAAATTTTTGAAATAATCAAATTAAGGTTTGTAAAATATACCTTAATGTTTTCTCTTTGACCTATGTAACTGTGTCAAAAAAAAAAAAAAGAGGGAAAAAAAAAAGACTTTATACAAATTTTAAATTTAATTATTAAGTTCGGTTTTGACAATCATACCAGAAATTCTTGCGATGCGTTCTGTAAGGGCTTTTCGTTATAGGCATAGACATTCAATCTTTGTCTTGCGGGAAGGGACAGCTTAGAAAAGAGAATGTCTGGTTTCAGGATTTTAAAACAAATTCCACTCGCTTTTCCTGCTTTTTCTTTGGCAAGTCCGTCCACTCGTAAAATCCTCTCGCTTTAAGGGCAGGAGGTCGTAGATCAAACTCTTTCTTTTGTTCAAGCGTCTATGGCTTTAGAGAAATTCCTACTGTTGTTGCGGTTAGTGGCTTAGTGATTCCAGCAGGAAAGTGACTTTTAAGCTCAGTTGACTTCTAGTTCCATGCTCTAGGGCAAGCAGATTGTAAGCGAAGCTTGATCGGTAGGGCAAGTTGCCCAAAAAAAAAGGCAAGGAAATTCTGTAAGTGAAAGAAGCCGAGTTGAACAGAAGATAGAGCCGGCACTTGAACCAGTACGGGAGCTAGAGGAGAGAGAGTTTGAGCCTGCGACTTCAATTTCTCTTTTTTTATGGTGTCTAACGGTAGTAAGCAAGTAAAGCCATGAAGACAGCAGTTACAGGCGAGGGATATCATATCAAAGAGAATTCCTTTAACGGCTAGGGCCTCGTGATAGAGTCTCTTTTCCGATCCAGTTCCAGTCTTGACGGTCTTGGCAATTGAACTTTTCATTTCCAGCCTTAACCGTCTTGTCAATTTAACTTTCCATCTCGACTCACGACTACTTGAAAGTCAAGGGGATAAATCAATCTTCCGATTTGACCTGCGGAGGGCACCAAATAAATCAAAATTACACAAAGAAGCTATCGGTGTCACCTCCAGTGGTGTGAAACCCATCTTCCCAGCAGTTGCAGCCATGGCATCATCATCCTTCTTCTGTTTCTCTCGAATTCCAGCCTGTCTTTCTCTCACTACCCTAAAAAGGCGTTCTCTCTCCTCTCGCTGCTCTCTTTTCGTCCAACCTCCTGATGTGGCTCAGTTAGCAGAGAGTGCTCGAATTTCACTTACCTCAAATGAGGTAAAACCCTCCTCCCCAGTATTCTCTTTTGGTTTTACTCGTCACTGGGATTTTATATAGAAAACCAAACTTAAAAGTATATAGAGTCTGAAATCAAGATCCTTTTTAAGCTCTTCTTAGTTGGGTTTGTCATATGTATATGTCTCAATGTTATTACATATTTAGTTGTGTTTCGAAGGTTGTTAAATACCTCTTTTTGCATCTTTTATTAACGGAAGAAGTTCAATGGCTGCCTCACTTGATGTCACAAATTGGTAAACTGGCCTCATCGTTTTGGAGAAACATTGTCTCTGTTTTTCATTGTTTGTTGATGTATGGGTTCATTTACAGGAATCCTGAATTGTTTTCCTCTCCATATGATAATGATGATTTGATCATTCTATGATACTTCTGGTTGTTGGGTTCTATGGATGGGTATTTTCTTTAAAGCAAATGGGAGAGAACACTCCTTGACTATGAACTGGTATTTTGAACAATGATTGTAATGGTCATAAATGTGATGAAACGAGCGCTAATTCGGAAAGCTCCATGTGATACATGAGTTTGGCACGAATGTAATAGTTTTGCTTTCTACCCCAGCCCTTGTGTCTTGATAAGGGTGCTTGGCCCTCTTTTGCAACTAAACTGTAGAAGAAATTTGAACATTACTGTTCTTTGTTATATAATTAATATTTCAAATTAGTGGCAGCAATCACTTCCATATATGTTTCCATGTTTTTCTTCTGCTAATTGGCAGGCTGGCATTTTCTCAGGTTTTAAGGCTTAATCTAGATTCTAACTCCATTATTTTTCTTTTGGTAGTAAAGAGGATACACCTCTATTCGATCTTGGCTGAATGAGAATAGCTATACTTGACATGCTCTTGGCTCATGCTAATTATGATATTAAAGACCTATACTGACATTGCTTACATGATTGTGACATAACTTCGTGCTTTATTTTCTTGTTATCTTTCGGACAAATCACTTTCTATTGGATATTTTGTGGCTCCTATTTCAATGTTTCTATTTTGCTGAAGGGAGAGAGAACATCACTTTCCCTTATGGATCTCAAATTTTGTAAATCATTTTTGACTCACGATAATATCTCAGAAATGGCAATGGAAAATCTACTTGACTGTCGAAATAAAAAAAAATCAATCTTTATAGTTGAAATTTGTGATTTTTAGTACATTTGCTTATGAATGTTTTTTGCATTTCAGATTGAAGAGTTTGGTCCCAAAATCAAACAAGTCATAGACTGGTATGTACAACTGTCTTTAATCATAAATGATAAAATTTTCTCCTTCTCGTCAGCCATAAATTCATCATACATCATTCTATATGAAAAGTACTTTGGAGTTGCGTTTAATTTGTCATTCCTATGTATTATCCAAAATTTGTTGCTATTCCACTCGATTAGTTTGTTGAGCTGAAAATCAATGAGTATCTTCTCAATTTTATTTAAATATCTTAATTTAAGAATAATGAAGTCAACTTCTCTCCATTAGAATTTAGAGGATAATGTTATAATTGTTATGATCTTATGATGTTCTGATTCAGAACTTAAGTCATTGTTAAAGTACAACATGACCAGTACAGTCCAACATGACCTATACATATGATATTGAATGAGTGTATATACTCATGAATCTACATATAGACCCGCACTTGCACATTGGTATGTGTTGGAAATTACATCTGTATTTTTCTAATTATGAATGTATGTTTTTCCCCTAATTATTTTATGTGTGCATCCTATGTAATGCCCCTCCAATATCTATATGTGCACATATGCATGATGATTTACATACCACTATGTTGGCTACTTGAAACATCAAAAATTTTGAGAAACTCATTCGAAATTAGTACCTCTGTGACAACTTGACGAATAAAATGTATTTGAAGCTATGGACAGCTATATGTATTAAACGAAAGCAAGTACTGTCCCATGGGTTGGAGAATTCTATATTTGTGTGCACTTGTTCATGCATCATCTTTGGCATACATTTTTCTTGTTTTCATGTAAAGATGACAATGTATTTGAGATTAACATTTTCCAATTCTTTCATAGAATAACTGATGTAGAGAACTTGAGAAAATAATAAAACTCAGCAAGAAATCTCAGCCAAAAGCATGCAATTTGTGAGGAAAGCCTAGAGTTTTTACCGCCCTAGCCTTCTTTTCTTTCTTCAATAGAAGTCTGTTTTTCTTTAGAAACAGTGTGTGATCTTCCTCCAGCCATCCATACCCCACTTAAATATTGCCTATTTAATATTTTGGACAATATTTGTCCATAAAATTAAAGTTTTAACCAAAAGGTCTTGACTTAAGTATAACTTGAAACTAAACTCCCTATCATCATCATCATCATTTTAGCCTTTTCCCAATTATTATATATATATGTGGAAAAGGATTTCATTATAGCTAGTATATTTGGAAAAAGATTTTCTTAGCTACTAGCTATAATGAATAATATAGGCTACTGATGTAGGGAGAAAATAATTAAATTAAAAACAATAACAAATGTGAGAGAATTTACACTTTCTTAAGGTCTGCAAAGGAATCCACCTCAAAACGATCTTTTCACAAGATCAACTTACTCAATTTAAATCTTTTCACATTATCAACTTTTCTCAATTCTCATTTTTTGATCATTCTCTGATCAGTTTACAATGAAGGGAAATCTCCCTTTAAATAGACTTTGAAGAAAATAAATAATTAAATAAATAAAAAAACCACAAAAATGAACTCTCTCTCTTCCACGTTTTTCCTCTCCCTCCCCATTTTCTCTCTCTTCATCTCCATATTTTATCTCTTTCCTCGCTGTCTCTATACCCATCACTTGGAGTCCCCTGAATCAAGGAAACTCCCCCATCTTCATGTACTCCCCATATCTAAATCCCTATCTTTCTCATACTTAAATTGCCCTTAAATCTCTCACTAGATCTAAGACAAGCTTAAAAAAAAACTAACTCACACCAAGATTTACCTTTCCTAAAAACTTACGCTACCCATTCCTAAAAAGATAAATTTAAAAAATAAAAATATTCTAAAGTTTTCCTAATTTTTATCTGCATCATTCTCCCCAGCTTGGGAGAAGCTCGACCTCGAGCTTGAAGCCAATCATGCTCTAATAATTGGTGATGTAATCCCACCATGCGCCTCGGCACCTTTTCTTCAAATTTTTCATTAAGCAGATTCATCAAATGCTTTATGCTTATCTCGAAGTAGAACACAGTGATTTTAGACTCAATCTTGATTTCTCCTTCAGACTCACTTATTTGGATTTCAAATATTGCATCACACACTTCATAATTTATTTTCAAAATTTCTTCTTTTTCTTTACATTTGATATTCAAAATTTCTTGCACATTGGCGTCGCCTTTTGTATCGAGACATACTTCTTCATATTCTTCTTCCTCTTGTTTCGATTGTAATATATGAAAGAAATCTCGTAGAACTTGTTTTACTACTTTGCTAATGCGCTCTGCTAGGTCTTCTGTGAGTCTCTCAAATCTTTGATCCAATCGTTGCAACTATTGATTCATGTCACGAACTTTGTTTCGAACATCTTCGAAGAACTTAAGGCTCTCCATATCAGCACGGATCTTAGGGCTCTAATATCAATTAATGCAGGGATAAAATGATTAAAGTAAAAAGAATAACAAAGGTGAGAGAAATTACACTCTCTCAAGGTCTGCAAGGGAATGCACCCCAAATCGATTTTTTCACGAGATCAACTTTACTTAATTCAGATCTTTTTACAAGATCAACTTATCTCAATTCTCATTCTCTGATTTTTTTTACAATGAAAGGACATCTCCCTTTAAATAGACTTTGAAGAAAATAAATAATGAAATAAATAAAAGAACCACGAAAATTAGCTCTCTCTCTCTCTTCCTTGTTTTTCCTCTCCCTCACTATTTTCTCTCACTTCATCTCGCTATTTTCTCTTTCCTCAAGTGGCTCTATACCCATCATGTGGAGTCCCTTGAATCAAGGAAACTTCCCCATCTTCACGTACTCTCCATATCCTTCGCATGTCTTTTCATACTTAAATTTCCCTTAAATCTCTCATTAAATCGAAGATAAACTTAAAAAAAACTAACTCACACCAAGATTTACCTTTTCTAAAAACTCACACTATCCATTCTTAAAAATATAAATTTAAAAAAATAATAAAATTCAATTTAGAATTTTTTCTAATTTTTATCTGCAACATCTACTAGCTCCCAGGCGTCAGATCTTTATTGAGTGGTTCAAAATTCATATCACCATTTTAATTTTAATCCTTTTTCTATAAATTAGATTAAGATGAAATTTTGGGGGTATAGACTTAACACTTTTGTGCACCATATAAAAATATAAAATGATTACTTTCAATAATTTAAAATAACCAAATTACCCCATCATTTTTCAGGGGTATTCCGATCATTTTACATTTTAGAAAATATTTTTTATATATTTTAGAAAATATTTTTTATATGTTTTTTCATTGTGTGCCCTATTTTTTAGTTCACATCCAAAATTTCATTACGATTTGATTTTTAGAAAAAAGATTAAAATTCTGATAGTGATATGAATTTTGAACCACCTGATGAAGATCTGACGGCTGGGAGCTAGTGGCTTATACTAATTCATTATAGCTAGTAGTTTAGGAAATCTTTCTCTCTCTCTCTCTCTCTCTCTCTCTCTCTCTCTCTCTATATATATATATATATATATGATACACACATGCACACGATGGGCTTATTAGTGAATTTCTACCATGCTTCAATCATGGCTCATCACCATTCAAAAACCATCATACAACTGTAATTATCTGATAGTATTTGAATTTTAATAATTTTTTCTACAAGCTTATTCGAAATTTGGGGCGTGACATCTAACCATCTTGCACAGAAATAAAATATAGAAAATATCCAAAATTTAAATAACAACAATACCCCTGAAATATTTAGAGGGGTAAATTGGTCATTTATAGAGGTGCACCTCACTGAGGCGCACACACCCACAAAATTTGCAGTTAATCTGATTTCTTATAAAACAAAATAAAATTCAAACACTTTCAGACAATCGTGTTATGGACGTGACTCATGAGTGTTTTTTAAGTGTTTCCCTCATATGTGTGTGTGTGCATGCGTGCATGTGTTTTCCTAATATATTCCTCTGTGTGTGTGTGTGTGCGCCTGACTGACGTGAATGGGAACTAAACTTTATCCTTCAACCACCATTGTCTTTCGATGATGTCCATGAAATGTTGAGATCAATCTTCTAATTGTTATTAATATAAGGCGTCTAATCAACATATGTAGACACACATGCACGCACACACACACTACTTTAGTATATTGAGTTAGTGACTATGGCCACTCTTTATAATCGAAATTAATCTTATATATCAATTATTCAAAAAAAAATCCCATCATATATCTAAGGACTATGGATCACGATCCCATGTGAAACGGGATGGGATCGAGATCCCATGATAAATGGGATCAAGGTCCCATATAGTCCAAGGGCAAGCTCCCAAGGTGTTTCAGCCTTGGTAACACAAAACCCCCTTGGAAAGTCGCTCTGCTTAACTATGGCTAGATATACATTTAGTAACACAATCCCTAAATTCAAAATCTAGAAAACAATACCAGTGTAGTGACACGAGAGGTGGGCATAGAAAGAAAGGGTTTGGGTAATGATTGGGAGTTCTATATAGGTTAGAATTTAGGATTTATAAAGGGTTTTAGGTCCCTTCTGAGATTGGGACTTCAGGGTTTGTGCCTTATGAAGGTTTCCTAATTCTGGTAGAATTAGATAATACGGGGTCTAAATGAAGTAGAACTAAGTCAGCGTTATGGGAAGACTTTGGTTGGGTTAGGGCAAGATTTGCTACAGGTTTTATGCTATCTAAAGGGATCGAAGCTTGCTGGAATTTCACAGTTCAGCAAGGAATGATGGTAATAAAAAGGGTTCTGCGATTGAATTAAGGCAAACCTATGTTTTGAGGTGGTAGGGGGATGTGTGATGGGTTTTAGGAGGCATTGGTTAGCTTATTATGGTTCAAGAAGGGTGGTTTGGAAGGGAAATATTCTATTTCAAATTCAATCTCTGCTATGACTGGCCTTGAGCCTACACCTTTATTTATATAGTTCAGAACATCTTGTATTCCTTAACTTGATGCTAAGGCAACCCTAAATCTTTTCTAGATCTATCTCTTCTAATATTAGGGAACTAGATCCTAGTTACTAGAATTTCCCAACTTAGATGTTCGTCCCACTCCTAGATTTTGTTCTAGCGCCTCTAGATAGGGATCTTGATCCCACTTTTTAGGGATTGCTCCTAGCTACTCGAAGGGGCAACAAGAGGCCAAAAAGATGATTCATTTGGGTTGTAGTTGCTCTCTTTCAAACACACACATGCTTTTGGATGTTGTAAAGTGTAAAACTGCAAATAAAGTTGCTCCCACACACACACATGCTTTTGTGTGTGTGTAGTTGCTCTCTCTCACACACACACAATTATTTTATGAGATAATTGTTACATAAACTACACCTCAAATGAATATGATAATTTTATTAATTAAATAAAGATTAATTAATAAATAATAATTTATTTATTTTGTGTGCCCATTTTTATTGTATTTTGTGAAATTATTAATTTTTAAAATTTCCGATTTAAGAAAATATTTATTAATTTAGAAATAGTACGAAATGCGCTTCCGACCTAGGGAGCTTCCTACTGTGTTGATCCATCACTCCCCTTCATACCCCTGCTCTTGCTCCAAGTAATGATGAATTAGATCCTCTATAGTTCTAGAAAACTAACCGTTTTAACATGTTTTAGAATAATTGTAACAAAGGGAAAAAGGAAACTAACTTCAATTTACTCTGACAAAGTCAATGTTCCAGAAGTTCCTATTTAAATATAAAATTTTTAATAAAAAATTTCATCTGAGTTTCGACCAAGATTTGAGACAGAAACATCCGAAGTGAGAAAAAGCTTTAGAGATGGTAGTCATAGATCTCATAGAGATTTTTGATTTGAGATTTGAATCACCTCAAACAAACCTCCAAGTGAAAATTTATGTCTATAAAAACCAATCTGCATCAAAGGTTTGGTTGATCAGCATTTGTAAAACCACTAAGTTGAACAACGGAGTTGGAGGGGACTGCTTAAATTGTTGAGCATCTTCATGGAGTGATGGATCACAGCAGGATCAGTATGAGGATCAAATGCATAGTTACTGGAATCTATCCACCGACCTCGCGTTTCCGGTTCCGAAACCCGATTCCCCGTTTCGTTAAGGAATCTCCACGGAAACCTTTTTTCGGAACCAAGAAAACTTGATTCCTTAATTTCGGAATCTCGATTCGACACATCTTTAGAAACAAATTTTCGGAACGAAGGAAACACAATTCCTTAATTTCGGAATCTCGATTCAACACATATTTAGAAACCATTTATCGGAACCAAGGAAACTCGATTCCTTAATTTCGGAATATCGATCCAACACATCTTTGAAAACTTGAACCCATTAATTGTGGGTAGACATTCTCAATTATATTGAATCTAGATTCTAGTGAGGATTAAATCTTGATTCCATGTCAATTGTAGTAGAAATCTTCCTTCGAATGCTTCTAGTGGTTGCAGGGTTTCATTATTTTACTTGTGCCACCCTGGATGGCCTTTATTTTAAATTTAAAATATAATTGGTAAATACAACATATACAATTAAAAGTAAAACCATGGCGTAAGCATAATCCTATTTTGTCTTTATAATAATGAAGTCAAAATCACAATTTAGTAATACTTGTCTTTTGTATATAATGACCATAAGTTCAATAATCAACACAATCCCTTTAAAATTCGACAAACCTTCTAATAAGAGACATCCAATATAGGTTCTAAAGTTGATGAGGCTCAAGATGTGCTTGTGGCTTCCTTCTCCATAAAAATGAAATCTTGATTCCTAGTAAGGGTCGTCAAACGCATTCCATAGTCCATATTACTGCAATCTGGCATGGATCTCTGATTTATATACTTTAAAAACTCGATTCCAAATATGTTAGAGTCCCGATTCGAAACAACAACATATCTATGTTCCACATATGTCAGAAACTCGATTTCATAGATGTCGAAAACTTGATTCTGCATATTAAAGAATCTTGACTCCTGGAGTATCGATTCTAGGGGAATGGGAATCTTGATTCCAAGGAGGGTGAAATCTCGATACCATAGGTGGATGAAACTTGGATCTCTTTCGATCGAAACATGATTCTCAAAAACTAGGAAGCTCATTCCCAGTGATTCCTATTGTACGGGCAACGATTCCTAGGACAAGAATCTTCTAGCTGGCCGCAATTCTGGTTCCTAAAACGATTTGGGTTCCTAGGCATTTCCAACAACTATGATCAAATGGATGACTTTTTTATGTATTTGGTTTATCATTGCTTTTGATTAGTTGGGCTCCGGATTATGGCCATTTATGCTTTGACTAAAAGATGCTATTGGTGCAATATTTGATACATAAGATTAAATAAATTGTTGCCCTCGATGGCTAGTTGGTTAGAAATGAAAATTGGTATCATTTCTAGATTCGTAAAAACGAATTTATGCGCATTGTGCACTCAAAGATGCACTTCCTTATATGATCTCAACTTGAAGATTTCTTTAATTTATTAAACCTGATTGATATTCTGAGTACAAAAATGATAACTCTCAAAGGCTCCCTCCATTTGCTTCCAACTTGATTTACACTGCCACTTACCATGAAAATTGGAATTGTTCTCATGTTTGACATGTCTGAATGTTCTTGTAGCTATTTCATTCTTTGTAAAACCTGTAGTCACTTGTTGTGTTAAATTGGTGGGTAATATTCATTTTATAGGATTGGGGCACTGGCGTGATTGTTTATGGTGTTGGGGCACACAACACTACATCCCATGTCTGAATCCCATGCTGACCAACCATAAAGAAAAAAAAGGCAAACTACTCATTTGATTGGATTTTGATCCATGAAATACTCTCTTGGATAGATAAAACAAAGTCATTCAATTTGTAGCTACCATTTTTCCAAATCATGAAGGTTTGACTGACAATTTTCTCTAAGCCCCCTCCCCCCCACCCCTACAAATCCTCCAAAATTCAGGGATGTAAAAACAGGTAGGGTTCAGATCCAATAAATAAAAAATATGGAAGTTTATTTTATATATTATAATAATACAGTTAAGACATATTTCTAAGTATATGTTTAATATTTTAGTTGACCATACTCGATAGGGTCCAGACTGGACCCAGACCCTCACCTGATCGGGGTCAGGCCGAGGTCAAGTGGACCCAGATCAAACCCATAGGGCCCACTATCTGGGTCCAGACCCAGACTAAATAGGTTGATCCATTGGGTCCGTGGGTCGAACCCTTTTCATACCCCAACTAAAATTCATTTCTTGAGTTCTGATGTAGTATTGGGGAACTGCAGTTTGGTGATTGTATGTCGCATAGTTTTCAAATATGGACTCATGTTGGGCCTTGGTAGTCTCTTGATCTATGTCAAGTTGGTAGAAGTTTTGCAGAATATAAAATACAACAATATTCTTGTGCGAGTTTCATGGCTATACAACAAGTTGAGGTGGGATCTTGAGGCGAGTCCTAAGCTGGCTCACTGAGTTCTAAACTGCGGCTTGTGGTGCTATTATGGTTTGATTATTTGATGGAGGACATGTATTCTTTACTTATAATAATGTGTTTAAAGTTGTTCATTATGTAATATCTAGTCACTTAAGCTTCGGCTAATTGGTAGTCATATTGATTTGGGTGAAGGGAGGTCTAGGATAGAACCCTTGAAGTTTGTCCAGAAAAACCCAACACAAACCCGTCTTTTTATTTAACCAAGTCATATCAAACAATTGTCTTGCATTCATGACCGTTTGGGTACTTTCTTTTTTATCATTCTTACACCACCCACAATACATTTTTTTAATGGATTTACTGCTTAAGTTCTTTCTAGAATTTGGGCATGTTCTTGTTTGAAATTTTTTTGGACACCAATGAAATGGACACATTTGTTAATTTATGGAATGGAATCTATTCCCCTTGCATTCTTTGCTTTTGCTTTCATCTAGTTTTGCATATAAATGATGTTTGGCCCCTTTTCTAGTTGTCTTATAAACTCCTTTATCTTTCGTTATGGTTGAGCAGGTTTGGACAACTTCAAGCAGCTAATCTTGAAAGCATTGAACCTGCACTTCGAGCCGGTTCTTTCCTAACTTTTGAATGAATTTGATACTGATGCATTTAAAAGAAAATCATGTCGATCAAATTCAGAGCATGGAGTTCAGCTGTTCCTATAAAATTCCCTTGTTTTTACATGCAGACAAGTACGGAATCTAATCTTTTCATACTGGAAGCGGCATCTAGTAATAATCAAAGATACCAGATATGGTTCTGGATATGAAGCATGGGGATATGAGTTTGTATTTCTCAAAATCAGGGACACTGATACTAGTGTCCTTTCATGTACATCTATAAATATAATCTTGCGTATTACATAAGATATGCATCCAGCACATCAATACACATACCATATATTAGTGCATACTTTGCATTTGGTCATAATTTTTTTTACAAATATCTCATTTTATATTTACTAGTGTCCTAGCAGAATCCTGTATCAGTATTGATGATAACATGATACGAAACCTGCATATTAAACATGTACATGTCTCCCGGCATCGCAAGTAATAAGTATGGTAAGAAGAAAGCCATGACTTTGGTTTGGTAGGTGTAAGATGCGCATTTCGTGTTGAAATCTGCAAATGACGTGTCCTTGGAAGTGTTAAGACAGTTAATTAAAAGTACACAAAGTTTTTGGATGTGTGAGTGGCGCGGTAATTCTTGGGCATGTTCAAACTCCTGATGCATATTAAACAACAATATCTTTGATGCCTGAATAAGATTGGGTTTTATGCCTTTGTATGAGTGAAATTTGTTTTCTGGACTCAATTGGAACATCTCTTGAGACAGTATATTTATCTCTATCTCACATATGGAGCTTTGTCTCCATCTCACATATGGAGCATGATAACTCCTAGTTGTTCGAAACTTCGATTGCCATAATGATTTCAGCACATGGTCCACTATCGCTTTGTCCCATGCATTGTCGTAGATGCTGCATGTTATCCAAGACTATATGATCTGTTTTGGTTGAAGTATTCGTAGATATTAATATATTATTGCCACATATAGGTGCACATAGAAGTGGATATTTGGTTGACTTAAATGAACACTATTTTGCATATGAGGCGCAGTTACTTTCATTTTCCTCATTATGGATAACGTGTTGAAACCTTGATGCACTTGTGTGCGACCCAACCTGGCATCTCATGTTTCACAGATCTTATACTTATTAAATGTATGCTTTGAGAGGGCCTTATCTGATTGTTATCTGCCTTATACCTAAATTGGTGATCGTAGTTTGTTATAGTTGTAGCAATGCTGATGTAGGCCTGATGGTCTTTGGGCTTCCCTTGTATCTTGTAGTATGCATCCTGCCATTTCCAAATGTTGAGACGAATTTTGCTCTATGAGGCTCCCAGCTTTTGAGAGTATGCGTCCTGCCATTTCCAAATGTTGAGATAGATTTTGCGCTATGAGGCTCCCTGCTTTTGAGAATATGCGTCCTGCCATTTCCAAATGTTGAGATAGATTTTGCTTTTGAGATTATCATGTTAGTTTAAGCTTGTGTAACATCTAGTTCTGTTTTCAACAACGTGAGAGTTGCACTTTGCTAATTCAGTAGTTTCTTAATACCAGTTAAAGGGCTAGTGAATGATTGGTCATGTGGGGTTCTAGGCTCATTCTGTTAGATGGTTCAGTCTTTCGGTTAGTTGGAATCAAGTGTGTGACTAAATGATTCAGAATCCTATTTGCCCAAGTGAAATCAAATAGCACTGGCTAATATATAATATTGCAGTTCTGTAAACCCGAGGGTTATGTGCATGGGTAATCTTTAACCCTATTTTCTTTCTAGAAATAAATTTGAGACGAGAAGGGAGGGACGGAGAGAGATGCTAAACTTGATATCTATTTTCTCACAGATACCGGAGGAAGTGACAATACACGAGCAGATGAACCTGAAATTTTTGGAAACAGGTAAGCTTTTCACTCCTTTCTTGCTGTGAAAAAAGATGGTGGTTAACTAGAATTGATCTTTTTGCTGAAAGCTCTACTTGATAAACTGTTGCAAATTTTAACATGGTACAGAGAGGCAATGATCGCAGCAGTTCCAAGCTACAGCGAGCCATTTATCAAAGTTCCCAAAGTCTTGAACAAGGAATAATTTTTTATAGGGTGCTCTCACCCCAAAAATCTTAGGGCTTCATGTAGACCTGTCATTCTTTTGCTGATTTTCTAAGAAATTTTACATTACCTGCAAAATTGCCAAAGAATTTGTACAGACGGATTGATGAAAGTTTATTTCACCCATGGGTACCTGATGCGGGACTTTATTCATATGAATAACACCATAAAATATGATTAAAGTGACTTAGAAACCCATATTAATGTCATTAAACTTGAAAGGGCTATGAATCATGGGAAAGTGTAATCTTGCTTCTTCAGGTAAAACACCCACTTGGGATGATCCGAAATTTTAAGAATCACCTTAGAATGACCTAGGGATTAGCGTTGAAATAAAAATAGCCCTCGAAACAATGGCTTGTGTGTGCTCCGTTGTGTAAGTTTTTTTAAGGCAATATTTTTCGGTTGTTTGCTGGGATCTGGCATTGGTCGGGTGTGGGTTGGATCCCCAGACCCTAAATAGTACTTGTGTACCCGGACCCGACAGGTCCAAAATGAGGGTACCTGTACCCGAGAGAAGATTTTGGACCTGGGACCCGGACCCATGCCCGATTGTGGAGGTGTGATTTATTTTTTTACTGAAATAATTGATTGCATTGGTATTTGATTAAGTAAATTTTGTTCTGTTTTAGAAGAGTCAAACAGTAGTTCTGCTCAACAAAACCCCTACAAAATTTTGCTCAAACAAGCATCCAATTCTGAGCAAAATTCGGTCAACTTCTGGAGCTTGAAACATTTCAGGTAAAACAAAAAGGTGAATTCTTCCCTACAAAAAGCATACACACATAAAAAATATTAGAGAAAAAAAAAAACAAATAAGCCAAAATATTGGAGAAAAAACCAAAATCAAAATTCTAACAGCAGGAAAACGTGCACGGATTGGCTTAAAATTGGCTCTATTAGAGAGGAGATAGCAAGGGGAAAATGGATCAGATAATAATTTACAAGGAATTGTACAAATTGGGTTTAGAAGAACCCCAGCTGCAGGGAACTATAACACAAACCATCAAAGATACTTCCCTGTCTCCTTTCTCTGTGAATGCCTACCCAGAGATCTCAGAGATGCGGCTGCGTGGTAGTGGTTGGACTTCAAATAGAGAGAGGGAGAGAGCCCAGAGTCAAAGCTTCGAATAGAGAAAGGGAGAGAGCTCAAAGAATGAGAGAGGATGCTGTTGTAGAGGAATTAGGGTTTGGGTAAAAAAAACTTAAACGTGCCTTTACTTAAGAAATTATCGTTAATATACCCATATTTTAAGAAAATTGAAAAAAAAATCTCAACTTTCCAAAATTTCGTCTACATTTTTTTTTACGAATTTTGGTTTTTTTTAGACGAAACTACCCGTTACAGTCTTTGTACTGTAGAAAGCGTTACGGTATTAAGAGTACCGTAATGACCATTACGGTATTAAAAGTGCCGTAATTAGCATTATGAATTGTTAGTACCGTAATACACTTTAAATGCTTTACGGTCATAAAAAGACCGCAATAGAGTTGAATATCATTACGGTATTAAGAGTACTGTAATGCAATTTTTGGTGTAGAGATGTTCCATGATTTCGCTGTTTGAAAGAAGTGCCCATGCGAGGGGTGTTTTCATGGAGGCATTGTAGGGAGAGAGAGTAGGGATTGGTCTTTTGCACCAACAATTCTCCCTTTTCTCTACTAAACACAGTATAATTCTACCTTTTCTCTTCAGATTCCTAAAATCATTGCCCACTCGGGCACTGATATGGAGAATCAATTGCAAATCAATGTAGAAACATCAACCAATAAAATAAGCTTTTAGACGAAACATTATAGGACAGTTCAATAGGGTAAAAATGAAAAAATCAAATTCAACCGGCTGACCGCATCCATGAGAGTTTCGACGAGAGCGAGGCTATTGATGATGACCTTGCCCATCTCCCTTGTCACCTCAAACACATAACCAAGAGCTCTCGGGGGAAGACTTGCAAATAGTCCTCATAACTCAGGGTCTTGCTCCCACCTTCAAAGCTTGGAATCCACAAAGGTTCAAAAGCTTGAGCCATTTTCACCAACTCATCCATTGCTGTCAATGCGAGCTCTGGAAGCATCGATCTCTCGGGATTCCCTGCTCCCTCCTTCACATTTAGCTGCGGACCAGTGATGAAATCAACACCTTGGGGCAATGAAACGGCCGTTGTTTAGTAGAGAAAAGGTAGAATTGTTGGTGTAAAAGGACCCATCCCTACTCTCTCTTTACGATGCCTCTATGAAGACACCTCTCGCATAGGCACTTCTTTCTAGCAGCGATGTCATGGAACATCTCCACACCAAAAAGAGCATTACGGTACTCTTAGTACCGTAATGATATTCAACTCCACTCCGATCTTCTTATGACCGTAAAGCATTTAAATAGCATTACGGTACTAACAATACTGTAATGGTAGTCTTAATACCGTAATTCTTTTTATGGTACAAAGACTACCGTAAAGAGAAGTTTCATCCAAAAAAAGCCAAAATTCGTGAAAAATGGTGTGCGCGAGGTTTTGGAATGTTAGGTTTTTTTTTTTCCAATTTCCTTAAAATATGGGTATATTAGCGATAATTTCCCTATTTTTAACATAATAATACGTAAGATGATAACTTTGCATAATAACTTCGCATATGAGACATGCATTCTAACTTGGGGAATTATACTTAATAACTTCGGGTACTATATTTAACATAACGACTTTGGGTCCCGAATCCAAATGGGGTGGGTCCACTAGTACACGGACCTATATCCGAAAATTTTCAGGTTATACATGGTGGGTCCCAGGTTGTGGGATGACAGATTGCATATGCAAAATTTGGGGTTCTGAAAACACCAAGTTCAAGCTCATCTTTCACTAAGAGATGGAGAATTTCAACCCCTGCTTCTTTGGAAAACTCTTGATGTTGTCTCCAATAATAATAGTGAAGATTGCTCCCCATCATGCTTGTTCAGGTAAATATCAAATCGAAGATAGGGTTCACGTACATTTGAGGTCTTCTTCAATAATCCATCTTAGATATAGATTTCAGACTTAGATTTTACAAGATTCAACCACCAAGATCATGAATAGTATAAATTGTATTATAAGGCTTAATTTTGTTTTTGGACCATTCATTTTAAATCTTCTCATATTACCAAATCTGCACTTTTTGTTTTAGAATTCATAGTTCTAAGTAGAAATGCCTCTAGAGTGGCTTAGCATGTGTTTTAGATCCTAAATCCATCTCTAAGATACATATTTGGGAAATGATTGTATTTAAATACGACAATTTATCTTGAACAAAAGATAAATGGTCTCTTTGTAGACAATCCCTTTTCTTATTAAGAAAGATAGACTTGTCTGCTAAAGGATTAAGTTTGCTCAATAAAAACCCCTAACTCCAAACATATGTTTGGTGAGTTAATTATATTTCTTTCAAGAGTTTAACCTCTACCATAAGGATTAAATAATCAAAACTACAAATAGGGTTTTAAAATCAATATTTTAGAATGGCTCTAATCTAGTTATAACTTTTCAAATTTAAGTTATCTAAGTGACAAAAAATTGGAACAGTATATAATGAGGCCATTTATCTTTCGTATAAGATGGTCACAATTAATCATGATCAATGGATGTGAAATTAGATAGATGCATTTATTCCATTGACCAAGCTCAAACTTCAAAATAAATTTTTTCAAACTTTGTGACATACCTAAGCTACCAGATTTCACATTAGTTGTTTATTTATTTATTTTGACCTCGTATCAAGGTAAATGATCTTATTTATACAATCCCAAAAAATTTTAAATCGGTTATGAGGTGCGTTGGCAAAACATCTAGACCTTTAAGAGCAGTTGATTGTCAAATTCTATTAAATTTTTATTTCTCTCATTTGATAACAGAAATCTGTTGAATGCTACTCGAGATGGATACTCAAAACTCCCTCTTTTACGCCCACCCGCATGTAGGAGGGAGGGCCGTTAGATGATCAAGAATTGACTGTGGTTGATTTTTAATCATTTTTTTAGAAATTCAATTTATAAAGGAAATGGTTTATACAAGGGTGATGTCCTAAACAATCAAAGACGCACCTCAAAAATTCACTATAAGAGGATGTTTTGATGCCAAAAATCTTGGACTCATGATGTATGGACATGAGAAAAAATGAATTTCAAATCTTGGAAATAGTGCATCTTATAATGTATTTTATGGACCGTTGCTTTTCAAGATTTTCAAGTGTTCATATTTGCTCGATCCACACTATTTTTGAAGCTTTAAATTTTATAGTTAGAGATGAAAACATATTTTTAGGCCAACACAAAAAATTTCAATACTGAAATAATATCTCTAGACATTATTTGAATGAGTACCTTACTTTGATTGCTTAAGACCTCAGCCTTATACAAACTACACAGAGCCGAGGCTCTAAACAATCCAATTAGAGCCTATCTCAAAAATTTCAATAGAAGATGTTGTTTTGATGTCCAAATATCCTCATATTGATCATTTCAACATCAAGATGCATGGACATGAGAAAAAAATGGATTCAAAGTTAAATAGTGTATTTTGTAACGTATTTTCGGACTGTCAATTTTCAAGATTTTCAAGGTTTCATAGATCTATCAATCTACACTATTTTTGAAGCTTCAAAGCTTATAAATAAAAATAAAAATATATTTTAAGGCTTTCACGATGATTTTCAGCATTGAAATTGCATTTCTTGATACTATTTGAAAGGAGGCTCTAATTTGATTGTTTAGAGTCTGGGCACTATACAAACCGCCTATACAAAAAGTTATGGAGTTGAGGTTCTAAACCATTGGAACCCACTTCGAATGTTTCGATGCTCGAATATCCTCATCATCTCGACATCAATATGCCTGGACATCAGGAAAAATATGGATTTCAAGATATTTAAAACTAGTACTTTTATACATGCACGTATTGGCCCCCTTCCTTCATATGCACCTCTTATTCAGGCGAGTTTTCAGACCCGTTTTGTTTGTCGAGCGCAGAGGCCGCCAGTCCAAGATCGTAGTCTTCTCTTTCGTGGTCTGAACCTCATGCTTCAAATCCAACCGTCGGGCTCTTTCCGCAAACTTGCAGCTTCGATTGGAGTGGCATCCACAGGTTAGGTCATCCGCTAACGCCTTTCTCTCTCAGATTCAATCAATGTGGAAAATTAGTTTTGGCTAGAACAAGAAGAGGAAGCGTCTTTTTCCTCTCGTACCATCTGAGATCAGAAAAGGAAAAGGAAGGGTTGATACCGCTTATTCATTATCTCAACTTAAACCGTCGAATTTGAATAGAACGAGCTTCCTTGTGCTTCAAGTTAAACAGAGGAGGTGATAAATGGCTTCCCTGCTCCGCTTCTCTCCTCCTTTTCCCACCGTTCGCATTCACCCACCACTCTTCTCAACCACAACACCACCACCACTCCGCCACTCAGTAACAAGCCCAAAGGCCTCCAATGGAGACCGATACCTCAGCTCTAATGGAGGCCGAAACCAAAATCAAAAGAAGAGTGAGAAATGGGATTGTCCTGTTCCTTTAGAGCAGCAACCGGTGAGGGAGTACGAGGCTTTGGCCAGCTCTGCCCTCTTCTCGTGGGCGGCTGGCGATGTCAGGCACTACGGGCGGAGGCTGGCAGCAGTCAGCCTGGGGTTTGCAGTGCTCCTGGGGTGGCCTGTGGCTCGCTTCGGGGCGATGCTTCACCACAATAATCTTGGTTTGAATTCTTTGGACTCAGAGAGAGAGGTGATGAGTTCTTTGGTGGGATCAGCTTGCGTTGGGCTTTTCGCCGCAAACCTTGCGGCTCTCCGAATGTACCTGGGCTGGGCCTATGTCGGCAACCGCCTGCTCAGCGCTACAGTGGAGTGTAATCTCTCTCTCTTTCTGTCTCTCTCACAGACACACATTATTCCCATGATGTGAGCTTCTTCTGGTGATGTATGATGCTTCTCTCTCTTGGGGTGTTTCTCTCCAGTGTGTAGATTTTTTTTTTTTTTTATCAAACTCTACTATTCTTTCATGGTTTCCAGCATGTTGGGTTTTTGTGATGGCATAGGAACTCTCTCATTGTTTGCATCATGTGGAATTGTGGACTTTCCTAATTCTATTTCTCGTTGGAATGCAATTTGAGCTTCATATTCACTCTATCCTCTCCCCTTTCTTTTCCTTGACTCCTCCTTTCCATGTTTGTTTGAAGTGTATTATTTCTGCTAATATATAAACTTTCTCCTCTTGGTTTTCTCTCTGTACTGTAGAATGTGATTCCTCCGTTTTATCAGTTTCTCGATATGGGTTTACATTCATAATTGATGATTTGGGACTTCCTTTGTTGCAGATGAGGAAACAGGGTGGTACGATGGGCAGGTACAAACTTTATTATTTGGGAAATTTATGAAAATGCCCATAAGAGATTAAGTATATAACATTGTAGCCACTTGTAACTATTCCTCTTAAGATCATGTGTTTTTTTGGTGGGTATTTTGAAATTAAATCAAAAGATATTACTGAGGCGTTAATTGTTCATATCTTATTAGATAATTTGATTAGTTCCCCTTCTTATCCTTTATACTGCATAAAAGGCTAGCTCTTTATGGTGAATTTTACTCTCTTCCTTTGTCCTACTTTCCTTTTATTTCGTTTTGGCTCTTCATTTATGAATAATCACATATGGAAAATGAAATAGTTCTCTAACCAACTACTCTCCTTTTATTTTGTTTTGGGTCTTCATTTTTGAATAATCACAGATGGAAAATGAAATAGTACTCTAACCAACAGGAGCCCTTGAAACTTTGATCGTAATTTATATCTTAGTTCCCAGCGAAATCATTTTTAAGCCCTGACTTTGCTCTATGTGAAGTATTTGATTGAATTGAGCTATTATCTTTGCCTTGATGTAGAATGTGGATATTGGTCTTATACTTGCTCCTCTATTATACTAAAATGATAACAGAGCAGTCCATCTTTTGGTGCCTGCGTATAAAGGATAGTGATGGTGTTAATATTTGGCGTATTGGCAAGGTTGTGATTCTCTTACATGAAAAACCTTTAGACTCAATGGGTCATACTTGTCTGTGTAAACCTTTTATAGCATTTCATGACAGTATCTGTTGTGATCAACTACCCCATGGGTTCAAATGAATCTTTGAACTTGGATTTATAGCAAAGCAATTGGTGTTCAAGGTTCTGCACTTTATACATTCATAATAGCTGGCTCCTTGGCACAATTTTATCCTATGATGTATGCTAACAGACATGTATTGGACCCTTGATGATGTTATAATTTTTCCGAGTTTATGGAAGGACAGTTGAGAATCAACACACCAGAAATCAGTAATATGTTCATGCTTGAGCTTGCATGGATTGGGATACAATATAAGGTCTATTAGGGTTGAGTAAGAAGCCTACCTTCTTAACGTTCTAAGTTAATTTTACCTTGCCAAAATTTCATGCTGTTTATGTGCTGATCTAATTGGGATTATTGTTCATGAATGTGTAGGTGTACCATATGTCATTGTCTCTTCTCCAGGGCAGGAGACATAGGTGTTTCCAGTGATCTCCTGACAAGCACCATTTTGTGTGAGTCACGTGTCCTTAATGCATTCCTCGACCCTATTCCATTCCATGATCGTATCTAGAACTACATAAGAGAACTTTGGTCCTCACACTATAGCCATAAAATATTCCTTCCTTGAGCTGCTTTCATGTACATTGTTTCATAACACTCTCCCCTTGAACTGCTCTTAAGTACTCTTTCTCATAAAGGAAACCAATCATGACGGTTGTATCACTAGATTTTGAAAATGTAGTTTCTTATGGGAATATAAGATTCTCTTCTAATGATGCCTTTCTCTTTTACTGTTTCCAATGGTTTCATGTTGTGGAGCAATAAGTTATTCCAAGATATTTTTCTCGGTTAATGGGATACCATGGGTAGTGTATAGCAAAGTGGACCTATGGTGGTAGCGATGAGATGCAATTACTAAAGGTGCAGGCTGACTAATCCACCGCTAGATGTTTGAAAGTGTAGCTTTAAAAGGAGACTGCTTTATACAGATGTGATGACCCTTTGGAGTGACATAATGGTGCCTTGGAAAATTTCCCTCAAGATCTATTCCATAGCAAAGCAATGATCCTGCAATCTAGTCTCCTTTTGAAGGTCAAGTAATTTCATTTGCTGGGGCAATTGGTAAAGGGCTCCAATATTGGTCTTGAATTGATCAGGCTTTGCACTGGAAGTTGGTTAGGGATGAGTAGCTATGATACACATCCAAGAACATGACATCAAGAAAAATGCCTTGCTTCTTGGATCTCGAGTTATTTTTTGGACAACTTCTTGGATCTCTAGTTTAGAAGTGTTACAGGGGAAAACCCATTCTCTTGACCCTCATTTATTCCATGTTCCCAACCTGATTGTTGCGACCACCTGTTTGCATTGATGACAGTTTTGGCTACTTAGGGTGGCCTGTAGCCAACTACTACTATTGGTTGTTCCTCTAAATGAGAAGCAATCCTTCTCTTCATCTGTGCATTGCTTGATATTAAATTTTTACCAATTTGCTCTCACACTTATATGCTACAGTTATGATTACTATATGAAACATGGTTCTCTCATTGTTCTGTTGTGGATTATCACTTTCTGACAACTCACATTCACATAAGACTCTCCTAAAGTACTGAAATTTAGGTTTTCCATGTCTCTGTAAGTGATTTTAAGAAACTTAGGCTGGCCTTCTGCATTTGCTATTGGTTGGCCAGACCCCTGCGTCGCTGCGTGCATGTGCATGCTTGCGTGACCCCAAATGTGTATGTGGCTTAGATGTGTGGTGAAAATTTAGGTTTTCCTCACTAAGTGATTTTAAGAAACTAAGGATGACCTCTTCAATTTGCTCTTGGTCAGCTAGTCCCCTGTGTCGCCGCGTGCACATGTGTGCTTGTGTGACCCCGGATGTGTTTGGATAAAGACATGCGGTGCAGTGCAAGTGGTACACCAACAAAATTAGTTTTACTGAGGTAAAAAGTACAAGGTACAAGAATTACCTAAAAAAAGGAGGTGGGTTAGTGCGTGTCTGGGTCGTGTCTCTCTTAGATATTGGCTTTTGATGCTGCAAAAAGCCTTCCAATACTCGTTGGCTGGCAGCGCGTGAGGGTGCCTGGTCTCGGAGATATCTCCCTACGAGTGTTCCTTGGGGTGAGTGTTGTGAGCCAAACACCCCTACTTCTCCCCAGGTGAGCTTTGTGAGCCAAACACCGCCAAGGTAGGGGAGCTGGACCTACACCATCAATACCTGCTTGCTTAGAGCATGGTTTGATTTCACTCCCTTGCACTTTGAGTCGCACTCGGTCTAAGGGTCACATACACACGAGTTGCAATGGGTTCCTATGGGGTCGTCGCAATTTGGTGTCGGTAGACCTAAGTGTGGGCTAGGTCTAGGCTTGGTTGGGTGGTAGTAGGTTTGGTTTGGTGTGGGTTAGGTTGGGTGAGCTCAAGAGGACTCGGTTAAGTGGATTCAATAGTGACTTACAAGGATAAGTGCCTGTAAACTCAACATTGGTAATCATACATAGCATGTGTGCTGCAGTTGCCATGGATTTATGTGATTTTGGAGTTTTGTGGGTTTCGCTTTTAGCATGCAGAGGGTCTCCCATTCAAGGAGGAAAGCTAGGAACTCCTGTACAAGTATTTGATCTATGCAGTGGAACTTAAATTTTTCCTTGGGGAGGGCACCTAGAATCTATGACTACTTGAGGACTATAGCACTTCTATGCCTTGGATAACTTTGATAGGCCAATCATGAGCTCCTTGCATGGAAGTATTGAGGTCTAGATGTGATCATAGGGTAGTCATGGAGTGCTTGGTAGAAGGGTCTAGCTTCTGTGCTAGCACACTATTCTAAGGTTTTTAAAGTGGTTTTCAAGGGGTTTTAAGAAAATTAAATTCTCTAATTAATCACCTTAGTTTTGTTTAGCAAAATATGTTTTTAAAACAAGGTTACTTTTGGAATAAAAATATTGTTCCAAGGTAAGGTCGTATTTGGTACTAAATATTTTTATTTAAGTTAATTTGAGGGAGGATTGTGATTTTTGTGGATGCTTAGTAGTGTCTTTTTGTTGGCCATTGGAGGACTACATGAATCATACCTGAGCACCACGTGGACCTCATTAACCATGGGGGACAAGTGGCACTCAAACCATGAGGCAGGGTACATCGAAGTCCTATCTCTCATGTGGGCTTCATACCACCCAAGTTTGGACTTCTTTGTGTAGCTTAATTCCAAAGATCTCCTAAGATATTTTATGATTATTTCCTTTGGTGAATGGGATGTCGAAAAGTCAAAGTTTTTTACAAGTTTGAAAGTTGAACCTAAGTGGTTAGGAGTTAGTTCAAAGGTGGGAAATCTTTTTCTAGTTGGAGTTAGTTATGAAGAATCCAACTAGATCTAGAAGTTCTATGGAAGATCTAACTGGACTCCACCTAGAGCCAGACAAGTATCTTAATAGGAATCCTCTTAGGGATTATGGTGCATTATCCGCCCTTGATATATGATGGTTGGGCAAGGGTTGGCGACTGAGATTGTCCCTCTCACTACTTCAATCTCCCATTAGAATCAAAAGAAATTCCCTTTATATCATTTTACTCCTAGACTACACTATAGAAAGCGTACTCCATCTCTTTT